GCCCCAGGGCGGGACAAGCGTGACGCTACGTGGGATCCGAACCGCCCAGGAGGGGACACACGTGAACACGCTTGGGCTCCAAACGCCCCAGAGCGGGACACACGTGAAAAAACATAGGTCCCTAACGCCCCAGAGCGGGACAGCCGTGAACACACGTGGGTGCCTAACGCCTCCGGGCGGGACAAGTGTGAAGACACGCGGGCGCCTCACGACCCAGGGCGGGACACGCGCGAAGACACGTGAGTTCACGCACCAGAGCGGGACAAGGGCGACAACACCTGGGCACCGAACGCCCCAAAGTGGCACAAGCGTGAGAACACGTGGGTTCCTGACGCTCCAAAGCGGGACACACATGGGAGCACGTGGGCTCCCAACGCCCGGGAGTGGGCCAAGCGCGACACACACACGCACACACACACACACACACACACACACACACACACACGCGCACACACGCACACACGCACACACGCACACATGGGTCCCGAACGCCCCAGGGCGGGACGGTATATGTTCCTGCCCCCTTGGCGCGTCTCCTGGCTCGTCCTCGGTCGCGTCCTCGGGCTTGTCAGCTGTCGGTTTCCCTGCCCGATCACGTCCATGGTGCATCCCCCTGCGCGCCACTTGCACAGTCCATGGCGCGCCTATGCGCCCTGCGCCCCATGCGCCCCAGATCTTGGGATCGAGTTGATTGTATCTCCTGCGACCTTCGACTTGAGCTGGTTCTTGGCGAACTGGGCCCTCAGGCAGCTCGAGCCTGAAGTCCAAAAATCAGTTCGGGCAGGTCCCATGGCGCGTCTCCCTGGCACATCGCGCGGCGCGCTGGCACGTCCCCTTGCACGTCCACTGGCACGTTCAGTGGCCCATCCCCTGGCACACCATTGCGCGGCGCGGCACAGCGCAGAGCAGCACAACGCAGCCCCTGGCACAGGGTCATCAGTCTTGATATCTTCAGCACCGCCCTTCGCCCAATTGAGGTGCTTGGAAAAATGTTTCCATGCCTCGCAATTGTACATCCCTCGCCGGGGTCGTGGGTCGATCGAGATCCCGGAAAAAGCATGGGCACAAGGTTGCGGGGGAACTCGCCCGCGCTGTAGCCTATGAGCCTGGGCCCAGCACCTTCGAACCCGGAGAGAGGGAGAGAGAGAGAGAGAGAGAGAGAGAGAGCAGGCTCTGTGAGGCCAGAGGTTCGTCCCAGGAGTGTTCCAGCTTGCGCGCTGATCAGCCAAGAATGAATGTTACCAAAATGCCATCGCTGCAGTTGCCAAGGTTATCAACTTTGGCTCGTGGGGGAAAGTGCCACCTGCAACACATTCTCAAACAGAGGCCAGCCGTGCGTACTGGAGCCCCTCGACGCAGACGCAGACGCTCCTTTGAAACAGGCTGTGTGTCCGTGTCGCTGCACGCGTCGTCGTTGCCAGCTTCGGCTACGAATGTTGCAGTCGCAAGCGTCGGCTTCTGCGATCCGATCGGCAATCCGGGCGACGGGGCCCGAGGGCAGCCCCATGAAGGGGGAGAGCAGGAGGGCGGGGGAGGAGGCGGCAGAGGCGGCAGCAGGACTCAGCGTCAAGTCGAAGCGACCAGCTGCCGCCGTTTGGGGGGGTACGCTGTATCGAAGAGAAGAGGAGGAGAAGGATACACATATAACAACAACAGGAGAAGGATACACAAATAACAACGGCAGGAACAGGAACAGAGGAGGCGCAGCCACAGCCAACGCATGAGGAACGGGAGGAGAAGGTGGAGGAGGGGGAGGAGGGAGAGGATTTTGAGGATGATGAGGGGGAACAAAAAAAAAGCCAGGAAGAGAGACCGATCGCAGGAGGAGGAAAAGCGTGCAATCGAGCCACACAACACAAGTTCAGTCAACAGGAGGGGAAGGATTAGCAGCATAGTCAAGCTACCACCACAAGGGACGCCAGGTGAGGAATGAAGATCGCACGAGGAGCGCTCGAGGAGCAACCATGGGACGACCCACAGAACAGCAAACCCCTTGCTGAAACCAAACGATGTATTGATTCAGCGTCTTGACTGTAAGAAGGAGGGAGGAGGAGGAGGAGGAGGAGGAGGAGGAGGAGGAGGAGGAGGAGGAGGAGGAGGAGAAGGAAAAGGAGAAGGAGGAGGAGGAGGAGGAGGAGGAGGATGTGAGCAACAAGTCGTGTGGAGAGTAAGGATGGGGAGAAGGAGGGCTGCCTTTCCTCGAGGCGAGGAGGGGTCCTCCTGCGGCGGCCAGGGCTTCTGTCGAGCTGCGGCGGGCGGCGCGCGACGGAGGGGTGGGGTGAGGGGCGGGTGCCCTTCTGGCAGGCGGTGCGCCTCTCGGAGCAGCGGGGGCCTCGCTTCCTCGCCGGGCCCGGGGGCTCCCTCTCCTCGGGGGGGGGGGGGGGCCTTCGGCAGGCCCGGACGGCTCCCCGAGAAGACCCCCGCCTCCCGGGGAGCCCCGCGGGCCCTTCGGGAGGAGGGGAGGAGGAGGAGGGAGGAGGAGGAGGAGGAGGAGGAGGAGGAGGAGGAGGGAGGAGGAGGAGGAGGAGGAGGAGGAGGAGGAGGAGGAGGAGGAGGAGGAGGAGGAGGGAGGAGGGGAGGAGGAGAGGAGGAGGAGGAGGAGGAGGAGGAGGAGGAGGAGGAGGAGGAGGGAGGAGGAGGGAGGATCGAGGAGGAGGGAGGGAGGAGGAGGAGGAGGAGGAGGAGGAGGAGGAGGAGGAGGAGGAGGAGGGAGGAGGAGGAGGGAGGAGGAGGAGGAGGAGGAGGAGGAGGGAGGAGGAGGAGGAGGGGGAGGAGGAGGAGGAGGAGAGGAGGAGGAGGGAGGAGGAGGATCGAGGAGGAGTAGGGGAGGAGGAGGAGGAGGGAGGAGGAGGAGGAGGAGGGAGGAGGAGGAGGAGGAGGAGGAGGAGGAGGAGGAGGAGGACGAGGGGGAGAAGGAGGAGGAGGAGGAGGAGGAGGAGGAGGAGGAGGTGGAGCGTGCCCAGAAGGGTTCGAATCCTAAACTCGGGAGATCATCAGCCCTCCGCACCGCGGAGAATGAGAGAAGGCGGAAGCCCCTTATATGATAACCTCGCAGAAGCCATCGACCATGCTGAGGGTGAGCGCGTACCAGGAGTATATGAGGAAAGAGCCGGCTCTACGATCACGAAGATTGCGAAGAAGAGGCAATTGTTTTTAAAGCTCAGTAAACATCTGGCTCAGGAGGTACTCGGACAGAGAGTCGGCCCAAGAGCTGCTCGAGCCCACTAGCACCCTGCGCACGACTGGCCCCATCATCAGCAACTGGTTCTGCAGCGAGAGTATGAGCCAACAAATTATCTTGAAACTCTTCGGCATCGAACTCTTGGGATATGTGGTCGAAGCGGTCATAATTGATCGGCCTGGCCGCAGGAGTGATGCGTGTAGGCCGAGTCGATCTGTCCAGCGTCTCGGGGAAAGCCTCGTCGATTACCCGCCCGCTTGGATGGGGGAAAATGCAATCCCGCCTCCGGCAGTCCCGACCATACCGGCAAACCAGTACGCCAGGCGGCCCACCACGAGAAGGTCGCTCAGCACGAGCACTCGGCGCAGGGCTACGAGATTCTTGGCGGGACAGCACAGTGGTGGAGGCGTCCAGCTTCCTCCCAATAAGCTCCAGCTGCGACTGGATGGAATGACAACGACTGTCAAACTCCGCACGTAGATCATCAGTCTGGTCACGATGCTGTTCGCTCAAACTTCCCAGCGCGTCCGAGGAGCAGTCAGGAAGATTGGCCTGGCCACTCCCATCCAACATGTTGCGCCCCTCGAGAGCGGTTAGCCTGGCTTGGAGCTAACACACTTGGTCCGCGACACGGGTAACAAGCCTCTCCATATGCGGGAGCAGGCTTTCAGTAACACTCTTAGCGACAGTAGGGACAACCGCATTCATACTGGTTGCAATACTAGGTGCGGTTGAATATGTCATGACCTCTTGGGAAACAGACTGGGCCACCACACGCACGTGTCTCGAGGCCTCCTGTTGGAAGAGACCGCGCTCGGACTCCAGGTCGTTGAGTTGTGCTTTGATGGAATCGATCTCCTCCCACACCACAGCAGACCTTGGGGAAGGACCAGAGGAGCAGTCGTCGGTGCTCGCGGAGTCCTCGGAAGTGTCACTGCGCTGGTCACCTTTCGCGGATGCCGCCGAGGCGTATGAATCAATGATGCCCTGCAGCCTGGTTATCGACTCATTCTGCGTCTCCACCAGGCCCTGGTATGCAGAGAGCTGAGTATCATACTGGCATTGGGCATGTCCGAGGATGAGTGGAACAACGGCCAGAGGCTCGGTGGACGGCATGGTGAAGGGGGCAGCGTCTCGGTTCAGGGACGCGCCAACACGGCAGCCTGAACCCGACACGTTGCGGGCATACCTTGGCACCCGTACCTCTGTAGGACCACGTCTACCAGGAAATGCAGTAGCCAATTCTTGATCAAGAGTCTCGAAGAAACCATCCTCCCATTGTTGCGTATAATGTCTAACCACTAGATGAGCAATGCCAAGATATTGTAGGCGCCACCGTGTGCCCGAGGAAAGGACCCTGCGGTTGGCGTGCGCGGCCATTTGAAGCCCATTGAAATGCTGGTCCGAGTAGTTGACCAACATCCGCAACGCGCGCCCAGCAACAGACGAAATAATCCCATTCGCGTCGTCCATCTGCAACCCGCAAACACAACTTGCCTCCTGCAGGCGTCGCCGCCAGCGAAGGAAGACCGAGAGCAGAAATGAAAGAAAATCAAAACATGCCGAGGCTCGCTTGAGCCGCAGGTCAAAAGATTCCGTCTTGAGCCGCACTGGCTACGGAGGAGGAGGAGGAGGGGGAGGAGGAGGCCCCCGCCTCCCATGGGAGCCCCCCGCGGGCCCTTCGGGAGGCCGCGCCCCTCTTCGCGCGCCGCACTCATGGCGCGCGCCGCAGGCGGCCCAGCTCTCCCCGCATGGGGGGAGCGGAAAACTGGGCGGGCGCGCGCCACAGGCCTCCGCCGCCCGGGCGCGCGCGCGCGCCACGCGGAGGGGGGGGCGGGGAGGGGGGGCGAGGACGGGCGACGAGGCCCAGGAGGAGGGGGCGAGGAGGAGGGGCGAGGGGGGGGGGCGAGGAGGGGGGGGCGAGGAGGGGGCGAGGAGGGGAGCGGAAAACTGCGCACGAGAGAACTGCGCGCCTCCTCGGCCGCCTCCTCCAGCTCCGGCTGCCGCCGCTCCGCTCTACTCCGCCCGGCCCAGAACCTTCCTCTTCCCCCCCCCTCCTCTTCGCCACCTTCTCGTCACCACCTCGCCACCTCCTCGCCACCTCCTCCTCCTCCTCCTCCTCCGCCTCCTCCTCCCTCTCCCCCGCCTCCTCCTCCTCCTCCTCCCTCTCTTCCTCCTCCTTTTCCTTCCCTCCCTCATTCTTCTCCTGCTCCTATTTCCCCCTCCCCTTCTCTCCTCCTCCACCTCTCTTCCGCCCCCCCTCCTCCTCCTCCTCCTCCTCCTCCTCCTCCTCCTCCTTCTTCTTCCCACTCCATCACTTTTTCTCCTACATAACTGCCGCACCCCCTGCCGCGTCGGTAAGGCGGGCCAGGCGTTTCGCCTGAGACATCCTCATCCTTTCTGGTCCTGAAGTGTGACATTCGAAACAAAGTTCCACGGATGAAATGCGAATGGTTCTCGCCTTAGCGACGCGCACATGCGTCTGAACAAGTATACAACAACGTCATGGCTGAGGGCGAATTTGAACATGTGACTCTCGCCTGAGCGCCGCGCACATTCAACCTAAAAGATTGCAGAAGCGTCACAGATGGAGGGTGGTTACTTTTCCAACTGTGGCTCTCTCGCCCGCAGCGCCGCGCACATTCGTCTTGAAAGGTTACAGCAGATTCACGTATGTCGGGCGGTTCCATTCAAAACGTGGCTCTCGCGTGGGCGCCACACACATCCGTTTTAAAGCTTGCAGCCATTTGGAAGACGCGCACCTTGAAGTCCCAGAAACGACTTGTCAGGACGCAACAGTCACGTTGATTCGCGGTGCTGGAGTCCCAGGCATTGCATTCTAGCGCGATGTACGACTCGCAGGACGCAGCAGTCACGTTAATCCGCGGCGCTGATGTCCCAGGAATTGTGTTATGGCACGCTTGCAAATTATCAGACGGAACATGAATTCTTCTAGGAACCCATGAAAGGGGAAAACTTAGTGGGATAAGTTACTGCAACATCGCTAACGCGTCTTATATTGAAACTGGTCGTCATCTTCATCCTCCCGCTCCTTCCGCTGGTCCTCCTTCTTGCTCCATCCACCGTCCCTCCTGCCCCCTCACCCCTCACAACATCTCCAACGTGGTGATTTTCTCACGCTATGGACCCTCAGAGGTTTAGACCACCACGTTCCTGGGCCCCGCTGTGCACCGCGCGTAAAATTTGTACACCTATTAATGCGAAAATAAAACACAACAACCTATGGAACACTTGCTTGCATGGCGGAGGATGGAGGCCCTGGCGAGGCCCTCAAGGTGCGTTGGAACTGGGGTGGAACCGCATGCGGACCCTGCCACTGGGGCCTTCGGCGGAGCACCATACGGGGCCATTTCACGTGTGAGGGGTGCGACGGAATGGGGGTGACATTGCATGCGGACCCTGCCACTGGGACCTTCGGCAGAGCACACTTTGAGGTCATGGAACGTGTGAGGGGTGCGCCGAAATGGAGGTGGAACTGCATGCGGACTCTGCCGCTGGGGCCTTCAGCGGAGCACGCCATTGGCCTATGAAACGTGTGAGACTTGAGCCGGAATGGGGGTGGAACTGCATGCGGACTCTGTCACTGGGGCCCTCGGCGGAGCACACTCTGGGGCCACGAAACGTGGGAGTGGTGCGCCGAAATGGGGATGGAACTGCATGCGGGCCCTGCGGCTGGGGCCTTCGGCGGAGCACGCTATGGGGTCATGAAACGTGTGAGAGGTGCGCCGAAACGAGGGTGGAACTGCATGCGGACTCGTCCGCTGGGGCCTTCGGCGGAGCATTTCATGGGGCCACGGAACGCGTGAGGGGTGCGCCGAAATGGGGGTGGGACTGCATGCGGACCCTGCCATTGTGGCATTCGGCGGAGCACCCTATGGAGCCATGGAACGTGTGAGGGGTGCGCCGAAATGATTGGCTTATGCGGAGGGCAGAGGCAGGGATGGGAGGAGGGAGGAGGGGGAGGAGGAGGAAGGAAAGAACGCGGGGCGCTGTCTCTCCAAAGCGATGACCCAACACCACAGGATGGGTTGGGAAAATGGGAGGGGATCGACACATACATAGATGTGTTACGTCTTCTTCTTCTTCTTCGAAACAAGGAGAAGAACAAGGACGACGACGAGGACGACGACAGCGACGAGGACAGAGACGACGAGGAGGCGAGGACGACGAGGGGCGAGCGGAAGGCGGCGCTCCAACCTTGCCGGCTGGCCGGCCTCGGCCGCCGCCGCCCTGCCTTAGTCCTGCAGCTGCAGGCGGCCCGCCTCGAGGGCGCGCTGGGGCGCGACCTCTGCGGGCGGGGGGGTGAGGAGGAGCAGGGGGAGGGAAGAAGACGGAGGAGCATGGGGGCTCGTCCTGAGCATATACCTCCTATAGCGTCTCTGACGGAAACGCACCAGGGACCTCCTTTCCTCTGCAAGATCTGCGCGTTCGTCGGGGCGCGGGAGGGGAGGAGGAAGAGGGAGGCAAGGCGCAGGCGGAGGGGATCCTTGCCGGCATGCCTATCGCCGCGCCCGCACGCAGACCCCGACGGGCGGCTGGCGCCAAGGCGGGCCGTGTCTCCACGGGAGGTGCTGCTTCCATTCCGAGGCGCGCCGGGACTGCCCACACCCGACTAGGGGACCACATGCGAACCCTACCCCTACCCCCCGCGATTTCTGAGTGGGAGGGTGGGGTTCACTTCGCGAGGGAGCTCCTGAACGATGTGAAGCCCACCCTCCCCCTCAGAAGTCGTGGAGGGTGGGGGTAGGGTTCGCACGTGGCCCCCGATTCTTCTCGCGGCCGTGATGGCCGGTGCGCCCTGCTGACGGCACAGAGCGCAGTCCTTCGCTGCCGGATGGACAGAGCAGAGCGAGGCGAGAGCACGAGCGGCGCAGCAACCGCACATCGAAGGGGGCCCTCCGGGGCTGCCGCACCGAAGCCGAATACTCGTGCGGCGCTCGAGCAGTCGTGCCGACGTGCACCGAAGACGCGGGCAACGCCCCACCACTCAAACGTCTCACTCGCCATGCCGTGGCCATAGTGGCCGTCGTGGCTAAGGTCCAGCAGGATGGGAGGGGGGAGAAGCAAGCAGAGCTCGAGGAAGCGTGAGACGTGAACCTGCCTGCACCCAGGAGCAGAACCGACAAAAGCTGATTTCGCCGTGGTGCTCCACAGGGGCTCGTGGAACACCCAAGCGGACGAGGAAAAAGACCGGCCCTGCGCGACACGTTGCGAGACCTATCCCCCCCCCCTCCCCCGGAGCGAGTGGGGGAACCACATAGGAAGGCACCAACTATACACCAACACCGATCCTGGCCAGGATCACCCTGGGCCCAGGATCGGTGTATACGCCCTCCTGCCCTGCGCAAGAAGGCATATACACCGATCCTGGGCCCAGGGTGACCCTGGCCAGGATCGGTGTTGGTGTATAGTTGGTGCCCTCCGACCACAGGGGGGGCGGGGGGACCCGTCTCGGAGGCCGCGAAAAACGGCGACGCGGAGTCGGCGACGGGCCCTCGACGACAGGACCGCACGCTCCAGGCCAGGGCGCGGGGCCTCGTCTGAGCCTGGCTCACGGGGCTCGCCGCCCTCGCCTTGGGTTGGCCCCGTCGCCGCCCGTCGCCGCCCGTCGCCGCCCCTCGCCTGGGCCTGGCTGCCGGCTCCGCCGCTCCGTGGTGGCCCCGTGGCCGCCCGTCGCCGCTTGCTCGCCGCTCCTCGTCTGGGCCCCGGTTGCGGGCTCCGCCGCTCCGTGGTGGCCCCGTCGCCGCGCGTGGCCGCCCCTCGTGCGATTCGCTTAGATATGCGCCACGTCGACTGCTCGTCGTGGATTGCGCCACGTGGCTTGCACAACATGGACTGCACCACATGGAGTGCTCGACACAGCTCACGCCGCGCAGCTCGCACCACATAGATGGCATCGCATAGCTTACACCACACAGGCTGCACCACATAACTTACATCACATAGATATCACACCATGTCGGTTGCACTGCATATTTTGTAGCACTATGGATCACGCCGCGTGGACTTTTGTCGATGGAGACGCAC